TCTCTGGGCAAAATATTCCATTAAACCCTGTGGCAGAGTTCCTGCTGCATTTGCTGCCTCCCAGAGCACACTCATCCAAGCTGCTCCAGGGATTTCTTCCAGAAAGCAAAATATTTCAGTATTTCAGACTCTGCACAAAACCAGCTTCTCTTCCTCAGTCATCTCCCATCCCCAGACAACTGCCAGGAGGAAAACAGGAGCTAAGGTCCAAGAACTGGGATGGGAAGTGCCAGCTTTGCTTTCCAGTGGGAAGAAATGTATGGAATTATCTGCTGTTAAAGAACAGGGATGCCCCAACCTCCTGATCCAGCACTAGAATTCACCTGCCCAAGGCAGGACCTTCAGCTCGACCTCCAGGCACTGGAGACCATGAAAAGCCTCTGGGGCCACTTTAAATGATCTAATTCCAGTAAAATCCCCGGATAAATCCCACTTCCATGGCCTGTCAGAGGCTGCACTGCTTCAATTCTTGCTGTGAAGAGCTGTTGCAAGAGGCAAAGGTGAGAAAAGCTCAGGTGGGAGATCCAGGAGGAAAAGGTGGAAGGGAAAGGAGTGTCCCGTGTTTCATCCCACACAGCGAGGAAATTGGGAGACCCAGAGGGAGGGAATGTTCTTAGAGGGAATTCAGCGCTGAAGGATGAGATGCTCAAGGTCAGAGTGACTCAGACTGGAATCACAGGATACAGGGAGAGGCTGCTCTGAGCACCAGCTCTTCCCACTATCTCCAAATGCTTTGGGGAAGCTCCAAATCCAGGAATTAGAGGCAATCCCTGTTATCTCACTGAGAAGCATCAAACCTTTGGCTTCCTCACACTGAACTGAGAGAATGGTGGGAGTGGAATTATCTCCCTCTCCTCCTTGGACTGTTTCAAGACAATGTTTTTATCCTTGCAGGAGCAGCCACTGCCTCCCTCCCTCCCTGCTGAATTCCCCTGGCTCAGAGCACAAGCCAAAACCAGACACTTCTTGTACCAAGCTGCAGTGAAAGGTTGGCATCCAGAGCCCTGCCAGCCTCCCACACCAGAGCAATTAGAAGGGAGCTGGGCACAGGATCCCAAAGCTTGGGAAGGAGCAGCCCACGCACCCATTGCTGAGATGTCTTTATTCACATTTTCCCCTCCTAATTAATGAGGCAGCAGATCTCTCTGGCCCTGCCCACACCTCGAGTGCAATCCTGCCCCTGTGCCAGCACCCACAGCGCTGTCAAACCAAGCTTCCACAAGTGTGTTTGGGAAAGAGCCAGGAAAGCACCCTGTTTGGAGCATAACCACTGCCTCCAGTCCTGCAGCTGGGGGAAGTCCAGCAGAAAACTGCTCCAGAAGGGACAGGATTCTCCAGAAACGGGACTCAGAGCAGCTGGGAAGAAAGTCAGCACCTCACTGCACAGGCAGGGTCAGCAAACCCTGCTGATGGTCCCTGTCCATCCTCCTCAAACTCTGCTTCTCACTTCCCAGAAGCAACCACGTCTCTGAAGGCCTCGTGCTCTCAGACAGATTCTAGAATTTCTCCTCAATCATCAAATAACTATTTGTTTTCAGCTCTTACTTTGCCTAACATTGACACTGCAAATTCAGGTCCTATCTGCAACTGTCAGTACAAGTTTTAATCTCAAATTCAACAGCTGGCTTGTAGCCATGGCCATGAGGGTGTGTTTGTCATTGTAACCTGATTGTAATTCAATTATATGGGTAATAGTTATTGGTCTGCTAATAAAACGTTATGGAAAGAATTTGAGCATCAGGATTGGCCCAGCTAACAAAATTCTGACTTTTATTTGGGTTCTAAAAACTAAAACCAATGGCTTCTGTCTGCCTCTAACACTTTTCCACCTTTGAATGTTACAATGGAATTAAACAGGGTGGGCACTGAAAAAAAGGACAGATCATGGAATCATGGAATATGAGTTGGAAGAGACCCACAAGGAGCATCAGTCCTGCACAGACACCCCAGCAATCCCCCCATGTGCTGAGGTGGTGCTACATTCATGTAATCCAAGCCTGAGAGGGGTTTCTGGGATGAGCCTTTCCCCACAGAGCCAGCCCTGGAGCTGCCCCACACCCAGGGTGGGGTTCAGGTTGAACCTCTGATCTCTCCTCACCGACTGGAAATTCTGAAGTTCCACCAGGGTCTTCTTATCCACGGTGACCTGCCCCTTCAGCTTGCAGTGGAAAGCCTCCTCCACACGCCTGTGGGATGAAACCTCCTCCAGGGAGAGCAGGAGTGGAGGCAGCTGGCTGGGATGGGCTGAGACAGCCAGGGCTGCTCGACGTTCGATGGCTTCTGAGGGTGAAAGAGCAGAAAAAGAACAGGAAAGCAAAGAATCATAGAATCATAGTATCAATTGGGTTGGAAAAGACCTCTGAGATCATCAAGTCCAACCCTTGATCCAACCCCGCTGTGGTTCCCAGCCCATGGCACTGATGCCACATCCAGTCTGTCCTTAAAAACCTCCAGGGATGGAGAATCCACCCCCTCCCTGGGCAGCCCATTCCAATGGCTGAGCACCCTCTCTGGAAAGAAATTCCTCCTAATATCCAACCTAACCCTCCCCTGGCACAGCTGAAGACCCAGCCCTCTTGTCTTGCTGATGGGAAAAGAGACCAACCCCCCCCGGCTCCCCCCTCCTGTCAGGGAGTTGTAGGTTTGGTTTCAAGGCCTGGCCTTTGAAGCCACCAGCGAACGTTTGCAGAGCCAGCTGTGGATTTGTCCAAAAGCAGCAGCTCCCAAAAAGCTCTCAGAGTCTTTACCTTTTAAGATCTCCTTAAACTCCTGCAGAAGGACTTCCCGGGTCACTTCAGCTCCAGGGGCTCCCGGAGGTCCCTGAGGCCCAGGAGGTCCCGGGGGCCCAACGAGGCCACGCTGAGGGAGCAACCAAAGCAAAACATGGGAATTAGAACCAGGGAATCACAGGGACAGATCAAAAATTCTCTCAGCCACGAGGCCCCCTCCAACACCAGTTCAAACACAGATCCTAAACTCCCTTTCCATCCAGCTGAGAATTCCAGCATTTGGAATTTACTCATGTGCTTCAGATGGGAGGATAAACCTTGCTCGGGTGAACACTGACTGGTTCTTCAGGCACAAGGCTGAGTTTGCTGCCTCTGTGTCTTCTCAAACCACCAAAGCATCCTACAAGGCCTTTCAGCTTCTTATCTGAACTGGAATATCCCTCTTGCCATACCTGACATTATTAATTGCTCAGACATAATGATCACACACGGGGGGGTTTGCTGGGACAGCAGAGCTCTCAGAATAAAATCCAACAGTTCAAACCCCTGTAAAGCTCAGCTACAAACCCCTCAGAGCTTTAAACTAACAGAACAAATGTGCAGAGTTCATCAAGGCTATTTCTGAGGCACGTTGTTCCTGTTTCCTCAGGAGCCTGCATGGAAGCACTGCTGCCTATCAGCTCCCTGAGAAATAAAAGGAAAGCATCCAAAATTGTCTTAGCAGTGGATTAAAAGTGCTCACGTGACTAAGAGTCACTCAGCAGATTTGAAATCAACTCCTTGTCCACACCTTATTAATATATATCCTTTGAGATGCTTGAGCTGGTGGAAGGAAAAAAATAAATAAATGGCAGAGGACAATTTTTATTTCTGCTGAGCAGAAAAATAAGCAAAAAAAGGCTCAGTCCAAGAACAGCTGCTCGAAACAAAAGCGAGTGCTGCAGCGGAATTCCCACACCTTATCTCACGAGGCACTTGTTGGCTCAGACTTCTCCAAAACACTTGGAGGAATTAAACACAAACAAGTGGGAAAGTCAGCACGCCCTGGGGTGGGAAGGCAAAGCTGGAGCACCCAAAACCCCCCTGAGAAGGAGCAGCAGGAAGGGAAGGCAGAGTGCAGGGCAGCAACAACCCACCAGTTTCTTGTCCTTCCCTTTGCATCTCCTCTTGGAGGTGTTCCCGTCGTCCGGGCGGTGCACGAAGGAGATCCAGGTGCGCCGGGGGTCTGTGATCCGGGGGTCTGCAGACTCCAGGACCTGAAAACAAACAACAGCAAAGCCTGAAACCACTGTATGGCCACTCCACGGGGTCAGAGAACAGGAGCCAGAGTGTGCCCAGGGGGACAAGAAGGCCAATGGATCCTGGCCTGGCTCAGGAACAGGGTGGCCAACAGGGCCAGGGAAGTGATTCTTCCCCTGGACTCAGCGCTGGTGAGGCCACCCCTGGAGTGCTGTGTCCAGCTCTGGGCCCTCAGCTCAGGAAGGACATGGAGGGGCTGGAGCAGGTCCAGAGAAGAGCAACAAGGCTGGGGAAGGGACTGGAGCACAAGTGCTGTGAGGAGAGGCTGAGGGAGCTGGGGCTGTTCAGCCTGGAGAAGAGGAGGCTCAGGGGAGACCTCCTCACTCTCTGCAACTCCCTGACAGGAGGGGGGAGCCGGGGGGGGTTGGTCTCTTTTCCCATCAGCAAGACAAGAGGGCTCGGTCTTGAGCTGTGCCAGGGGAGGTTTAGGTTGGATATCAGGAAGAATTTCTTTCCAGAGAGGGTGCTCAGCCATTGGAATGGGCTGCCCAGGGAAGTGGGGGATTCTCCATCCCTGGAGGTTTCTAAGCTGAGACTGGATGTGGCATCAGTGCCATGGGCTGGGAACCACGGTGGGGTTGGATCAAGGGTTGGATTGATGATCTTGGAGGTCCCTTCCAACCCAGCTGATTCCATGATTCTATGATTCTATGACCAGACTGCTGCCTGCTGCCTAAAGCACATCCCCAGCACAAACGTGCACAGAGAGGGTGCTTGAGAAGCCAGTACAAGCCAAGAGCTCTAAATGTCCCTCAGAGACCTTTCTCAAGCTGCTGGGACTCTCAAACCACTCTCATACCACAGCAAACCTGCCCAGATGCCAGAGATTGTTCCCCACTGGCATCAGTTGGCTCAAAGGAGCAATAAAGGGGATTAAAAACGTCCAGAGAGCCTCGAAATGCTGCCTGACTTTCAAATCACAGGCTGCAGAGTGACAAACGTGCACAGAGGAGAAAACACAACTCCCAGTGAAACCCAGAGTCCAAAACACAACTCCCAGTGAAACCCAGAGTCTGTCTGACCACAGAAAAGATGTTTATGGGCAAATTTAACTCCCTATGTCCCTCAAGTGGACAGAGAAGTTCTGCAGAGGAGCTTTGGCACTGCAGTGCCTGTTTGTGGGTCCTTGCTGAACCAACTTGGGGCACAAGGGATGTTATTGAGGGGATGAAGCTCCTACAGGTCTGACAGCAGCTCTGCCACAGCTCAGACACCAAAACTCTGCCCTCAGTGCCCTGAGTGACCTTGCAAGGTGCTCCCAGTGCATGTTTGCTCATCACCTGTCCCATTTTTGCTCCCTAAATGCCACTTCTCAGAGAACCAGCTTGACTTTTAATCGCATTTCTAGTCCCACTTATAAGAACAGACTCACTTCCATCGCATAGCAGGAAAAAAAAGCACCCTTTAGAATGTTAGAATGCAGGTCAGGTCCCAAAAACAGCCACACACCCCCCTGAGAGCAGCGGGGATTGGACAGAGGGTTGCAAATTTTAACTGGGAATAACAGGGCAAGCCCATTTTGAGGGGGAAAAGACCAGAGTCTCCGTGTGATCTGCTGTGAAAAACCAGCAGCTCCCCAGAAATCAGGTGTGAGATGAGCAAGATCTCAAATTCTGTTAAACAACTCCCTCAATTCCATAAAGTCAAGGACACCCTGAGACATTTCCCCATTTTCACTCTGGTTGAATTAATCAGGGTCATGGTTATCCACACTCCCCACAGATTTATTCTGTATCAAAACCAAGAGCAAGACAGTTTAGTTCATTATTTCTCTCCCAAAATCAGGCTTGAACAGACTTTTTACTACTACAACCACATTTCTAGTCAGCCACCATCTGTGTTCAGCCAAGGGCTTCTGGTAGGTTGTTGTAGCTAATTTGTTTTTTGCCCCTTTTAATTACTCGAAGCTTCAATAGCTTTCTGAAATTCCATCACTGGGAAGTGCTGTACATGGAGCAGCCCAGAATTCCCAGGGATTGGGGGATCAGACACCTCACTGAAACAATTTCGTCTGCCCACGGGTTGCTTGAGTGGAGATTTTTGGGAAGCAGGAGAAAAGAGTCAAAGACACTCCAAAGAGAGTCCTTTGGTGCAGGTTTATCCACTGAAACATGTAAACATCAAACCCACAAAGTTTACAGAAGTCCTTGGAACAGCACAGGAGGTGCAGTTTATCCTAGAACAGCATGGGATATATTTATCAGTTGCATGGAAAATTAATGGGAAAAGTTGGTTCTTTCCTGCCCCACCTCACCTGAACAACACAGGGGTGCAGCATCACCACCTGCAGAGGAGTTTTATTAATATTTCAGTTTATAAAAGGTCATAAAGGCAGGTTAAAACCTTCCTGCAGGTGCCTTTTTGGGGCTGACAGTGTGTGGGGAAGCTGTAGGAAGGAAACAAGCAGAAGGAAACAAGTTATGAACAGAAGCACCTGGCTCAGGCAGGGTGTTCCCCCAGTGCTGTGACAGCAGAGAAAATGGAAATAAAATCACTTCATCCTTCAGAAATGGTTGTTCCTGGGGCAGGGACTCGGGGGTGCAACCTCCAGCACAGAGTAAACAGGACAGAGCCTCAGCAACTGGGATGTGGAGGAGAATATTCAAATATTCCTGATTTCCACAGGGCTGCAGCACAGGGACAGACTCCCCTCCAGTGCAGAACTCAGGGAACAGGCCAGTTCTGGAAGCAGAAGCAACAACCAAGGGCAGGCTCTGTGAAGGCAAACAGATGTTCCTGGAGCTCCAGCTGGGAAGGAACAGGCCAGAGCAGACATCTTGTCAGGGAGAAGACAAAAAAAAGACATCCAGATGGCACATCCCAGAAAAAAAATAAATAAAAAAACCCCTGAAGTATATATATATAAAAAGAAAAAAAAAAACAGTAAAAAAAATAAAATATAAAATCCCATCCCTCTGCAGTGGGTTGGTTAATTCACAAATCCCTCCACAAGACACTCGTGGCACATCCCAGAAAAAAACCCCAAAAAAACCCCTGAGGTATATATAAAAAATAAAAAAACAGTAAAAAAAACTAAATCCCATCCCTCTGCAGTGGGTTGGTTAAATCACAAATCCCTCCACAAGACACTCGTGGCACATCCCAGAAAAAAAAAAAAAAAACAAACCCTGAGGTATATATATAAAAAGAAAAAAAAGCAGTAAAAAAAATAAAATAAAATCCCATCCTTCTGCAGTGGGTTGGTTAAATCACAAATCCCTCCACAAGACACTGGTGGCACTCCCCAGTTTCTCCAGCCCAGGGCTGACTGACAGTTAAAATGAACGTTCCATGCTCGTGGTATTATTATTTAATTACTATGGCATGCAGGAGCAATCCCAGCAATAAGCAGGCAAGCCTCTGTTTTTTTTGGCAGAGGGAGCCTCCAGCAGCCAAGAGAGACCTCGCAGCCAACTCAGGTATCCGAGGGGATGGGGAACAGCCCTGGAATCCCAGAGGGGATTTGTCCCTCCTTGGAGGGGTGTTTGCAGGGCAAAGACACCCTGCAGGAGTCAGGAGGAATCCTCGGGGTAAATCCAGGGAAATCTCCTTAAAACAGCACCTCCAAAACCCACAGGAGCCTTGCCAGGGATTGTTAAGGAACTTTCAATCAGGTCTTTAAGCACGACTTTAAGTGTGAACACAATGGCACCTTTCACTCCGTTCCAGAGGGTGACACTGGAATTAGCCCAGGCTCTCCCTGATTTCCCTCACAGTGAGGCAATTTGGGCTGGAATTTGGGTGCTGGATCTCTCAGGCTCCAGCCCCTCAGGGACACTCAAGGTTCAGCCCCAGGGAAGAAACCACGGGTCAAAATCCACACTCAAAGAGCAGAGTTTGGATCCTGAGAGGTTTCTGAACTGCATCTGGACTTCCCTGACATTCCAGGATGTCGGGATCCAGTCCAAAAAAACCAACTGGAAACGGACAAAAGTCCTTCCAGGGTCTGGGTGGAGAGAAGAACAAAGTCAACACCACCTGTGAGCACAGTTTTACACCTAAAACCTGTGTTCTCAGAGTGGGTCAGGATGGGAAGAAAGCACGAGAACTTGTAATTTTGTGAGAGGAAAGCATCCTTTCCACCTGTAATTAGTCTATCCAAGAACAGACTCCAGACCATTCCAGTCCACAGTCCGTGCCTGAAGTGACTGCCCTGCAATTCTGCTCAGTTATCTGGGAATTTGTCCCTCTGGGAGGAAACTGTATTTAAGAACCCTTTGTTTCGTTTTAATTTAATTTCCAGGCACAAAATGGACTTGAGTAAGCATTTCCATTTTCTCAATACACACATTTCTCTGTTGTTCCCCCTGATTTACACCAGCCAGGGCATTGCCTGCTTCATTATGGAAATGAAGAATGAATAATTTATTTCAGTAGTGTGTTTTACTTGGACCAGGACACAGAGTGACAGAGCACTCTTATTTTAGCCTGAAAACCCCCCTGTGTCAGCTGCTAATAACTTACAGCTCTGCACACTCCTGCTTATTAATGAGATGTAAACCCAAGGTCCTGACCACTTGTGGTTTTTCAAAGATCCCTCAAGAATTCTCCCCCAGAGCAGAAGGGTTAGGTTTGCTATCTCAGCCAAATCCAAGAGGGAATTCCTACCGAAATTCCCACTGTGTTCTGTGATTAAAAATCACACTTCACTCCTCCAGCAACTTCAACCACAAACAGGCTGCAGTGGTCACACCCTTAATGAGTTTAACGACTCTCCTGGAGCAGGGTCATTCTGGGTGAGAAAACATCACCTTTCTCATTATTTATTATCATTACTTCATGTTGGCCACAAAGAATTGCTGTGAGTCTGTGTGTTCTTTGTTCAGAAAATTCACAAAACTTCACTTGTAATATTCCAGAGTAAGGCACGAATGTCAGATAGAAAACCAAAGAGAGCAACACCTGTTCCAGGGAGGTCACAGCCCAGTTTCTCCCCTGGGTTTAGCACTTGTCAGGCCCCAAAATGCTTTTCTCTCTGTTCCACCTGCAGGCTCAGACTGAAATCTCTGTACAGAGGAGAAATTGGTCCAGGTAATGTCATGGAACCAACTCCTGCTTTCAACTGGGAGCAAAAGACCCCCCAAGAAATAACTCAGGGGGATTTCAGTAGTAAAGCAGGTAGAGCAAAGCCTTGGTGTCTGGAGGAGCCAGGATTCCAGCTGGAAGGGACATCCAGGGGTTGTCTAGTTCATATCCATACAAATATCTCCAAGGGGGGGTCAAGAGGATGGTGCCAAACTCTGTTCAGAGACAGGACGAGGAGTAAAGGCCAGAAACTGGAACACAACAAGTTCCACCTCAACAGGAGGCAGAACTGCTTTCCATGAGGGTGGCAGAGCCTGGAACAGCCTGGAACAGTCTGGAACAGCCCTGGAACAGCCTGGAACAGCCTGGAACAGCCTGGGAGGGCTTGGAGTCTCCCTCTCTGGGGACATTCCAAACCCACCTGAACACGTTGTTGGGTGTCCCCTGCTCCAGGTGACCTTGCCTGGGTTGGACTGGATGAGCTCCAGAGGTCCCTCCCAAGCCAAACCACTCTGGGATTCTGGGATCCAACCCCCCCTCCCTGCTCTAAAGCCCCATGTGCAGGCAGGGGAAGGCAAGTCTGGCAAGTGGCAGGGAGAAGATCCAGAAGATCCAAACCTCTGCATCCATCCCTCGTGTTCTGCTCCCTCTCTCTCTCTCTCTGTCTCTCTTAGTCCATCTGTGTCAGAGAAGAAAACCCTCATGTGCTTGGCAAGCACATCACACTGTCAGCAGCTCAAAGATAAGACTGCAGAAAACCTATTTTAAAAAACAAAATAAAAAATAAACCCCAACAGACTCACTATTTCCACGGAAATATTGGGTTTATCAGATTTGAGGCTTCTGCTTCCCTGTTTTAGTAGAGGTTTCACCACATGACTCATGGACTGTGAATGTTAAAGGGGAGCTTTCTCCACTCCTGTTTTAAAAGAATTCCCAAGAGAGTTTTGTCCCAAACTGTTTGGCTTAATTAGAAGGAAAACACATCTACCTTTTCAACAGTAGGAATAAAAATCACTGCTCCCAGCTCATAATTCATTCCCTGCTCTGATAAACCTACCAGTTGGCCACAGAGGCTTCCAAGGTAAACACAGCCTTAATTTTTACTGCTCAAGGCCACAAAAATTCCATCTTTCCTGTTATGTGCTGCAGAGGATTAAATGGGACACTGCTGCTGCTTCATTTTCCTGTGCAGGGCATCCTCTCATGAAACAAAACTGCTCTCAGAGGCTTCAAGGCTCTAAAAGATCAGTGTTCCACAGAGAACAACCTCACATTAGGTAAGGACACCCTAAATACTATTTTACTTCTTCCCTTAGTGAATATAAATGGTGATGGTTTGGTGTAAAAAGCGACTTTTCCCCCAGAAATGGTGGCAATTCTTAAGCATTTACAGCCTGTGTAAAACCCCCCCTGAGCCTGGGCAGGTGCTACATAAACACAAAATCCAAAAATACACCGTTTAGAAAGCAACACTTAACCCTCCTGGACTTCAACTCAAAACAGATTCCAAGGAGAAAAGTTCAAGCCCTCTGCAAAAATTTGGGGAGTGATTGACATCCAAGGTTTGGGTTTGTCCCATCCTTCCTGAGCAGAACCTGCCCGAGCTGAACTCGCCAGCTCGTCCTGCAGCCAAACCTTTGCCATGGATATTTTAAAGCAAAGCATTTCGACACACAGACTTGCAGCTTCCAAACAATGTCTGCTTTAATGAATGCCCACGAGCCTCTGTGTTTTTTTCTTTTTTCCCCAGCCCCAGTGGATGTGTGACTGCATCAGAATTAACCAGGACCGGTTCCTGCTTGTTTTTTGCAATCAGGATGGATCCTGCTCGTGGTCCCATCCACTTCACATCGAGGCAAATTAACTCCAGAATAAATAGTTGCACCAGGTCTGTCCGTGGCCCCTCTGCAAGGGCAGAGAGTGAAGCAGTTGTGGGGAGAGCACAAGTGATGGATTAAAAGCACCTCGAGAATTCAGCCTGTGCACAACCTGTGCTGGCAGAGCCCCGCGACACACACGCACAAAGAGGAGCTGCAGGAAGGCAGCTCACGGCCCCCGAGGACAATTCTGAGGGCACAGCCAGCTTTTATATGCAGGACTATTCCCCAGACCTGCCCAACCTTAACCAATTACTCTCACAACAGCCCGGAGTGGGATATTTGGGATGTCAGCCCAATTGTTCCCCCTCGGCCATGCCCCAGTTGCTGGCAGGTCTGTTCCCCCATTGCTATAGTGACTGCCAGCCCTAATGCTGCTGATCAAAGTCGTGCTGGAGAGGTCACTCTGTCCTGACAAGGGACATTTTTGTGTGAGCAGGGGAGGGGGAGAGAGCCTGTGGCATAGGGGAGACTCCCTTCCTGCTCCCTCTTCCAGTCTCCCTTCACTTCATCCTGCTCCTGCTCCTAAAACCTGCTCTTCATTCTCTGCTATTCCCAAGCATTCTTCCCGAGCATTCTATGCAAATATTCATCCTAAAGGATTCTGGGGGCTCTGAGCAACCGAGTGGAAGTTTTCTGGGTGATTCTCCCAAACATTTAACATTTAACCCTGCCAAATTCACTCACCAGCTACAGCCACAGAGGTACCACACACACACACACACAGAGAGGCTTCACTTCCCATTTACACACAACTAAAAACCATCCTGAACCCTTTCCTAGAGCCACAACCACCCTAAACACATCACCTGCCCACACCCAAAACCTTCTCAGCTCTGATTTTCGGCCACATTCTCCTGCCCACAGAAAGCTCTGGCATTCTGAGATGTTTATAACACTGTATTTGCTAAAGAAGGGTTTGAAATAACATTTCAGGGAGTTAAGACTTTGCCTGCAAGAGGCACATTAAAATCCCAGCATCATTCCTGTGATAGCCCACTTGCTTTAATTTTAAGTTGTTGCTGATGCTGTTCATGCATCAGAACTTTAAAACATCTTTACCCTTAATCAGCTACAAGGGGACTGGAACTTTCAGTCCTGGGTGTTCCAAAACAACCATAAATTGGAGTATTCCAGTGTTTGCTCCAGCAAAGCCAGGAAATCAGTCATGCAAAGGCAAAAGAGGGAACATTTCCCTCCTTAAAATCAAGCAGCATTTTAGCAAGATTGCCTGAAATCATTGGAAAAAGGAAGCAGCACCACTCTGCTGGCAGGACTAAGCTCTGCCAAGACACAAACACCCACCTTGGGATGCCCGTGCAGCTCCTCACTGTTGGACAGGGTGGTGTTGAAGGGCTCTGTGTACTGATTTGGTTCTTTCTTCACCTTCCTCTCTCTCTTTGCTGCTGAAACCCTGAAGAGGCAAAACTGCTGACACAGTAAAGTTGCCACAAACACCCAGGTGCACCCCTTCATTTTGGAAAGGGAGGGAGGGGCCAAGTCCAAGCACAAAAAAAAAAAAAGAAAACCTTCACCACCAATAAAGGAACAGAGTCCTCTCTCCAAAAATAAAAAGCAGCAGGGTCAGAAGTGCTAAAGAAGATCCTCTGGGCTGTGCAATGTCAGATGGGCAGCGAGATGGATGTGCTGGTTGCTGAGAGGTCTCTGCTCAAGCAGGACACATGGAAACGGTACAGATCAACTTGTTTAAAATCTGGATTCACTCGGAGAAGGAGGTAAGTCCATTCAGCCTCTGGGAGCTTTACATAAATACAAGAGGCCCTGAAAAGTCCTGCCACCCACCTTGAAGTGTTGCTCTCCCTTCTACCCCCCTCAAATAAGTCTTCAGACTTGTTTTAAATGCACTCAGCTATGAGAAGTCAAACTGCTCTGGGCAACAGTTGCTCAGGCCAGAGCTGACAACACGAACTCATCAGGGGGGCTCTGGTTGTTCCTCTTCACCAGGAGGGTTCACTTGCTGTCATTTGAAGCCTCGTGTTGGGTTCAGAGCAGGTTTGGATGCGTTCCATCCGTTCCCTCTGGGCTGATCCTTCCCCCTTTCCTCAGTGACAAGTCCTCATCCTTCCCTTCCAGGATGCTGGGGAACTGTAATCCAAGGTTGCTACAGCCAGTGCTCCTCTGGAGGGGCTGGAAGCATCACAGCCTTGTCGGGGGAAGAGAGACTTCTCACACCATTAAACTTAAAACGAGGAGAAACAAAGAATCCGAGAGCGTCCCCAGCTCCGCCGGGAACAGGGAGAGTTTCCCCAAGTGTGGTTTGTCTCCCTCTCTAGCTGAGGGAGCTTTCCCTTTTCTCTGAGGATGAGCAGCAGCTGTCAGGGTGCAGAACCTCGTGGCTTTTGCATCCTCATCTCCCCTCACACCGGGCAGGATTTCAGGTACCTCGGAGGGTCTGGTTTTTCCCGCTGCTCCTTTCCCCAGCTGCACGTTGGCAAAACCCTCCTCAGCTCCTGCCTTACCTCGGCAGAGAAGTCCTTCTGTCCCGAAGGAGTTTCCATCAACTTCAAGAAAAGCAAAAGAAAAAAGAAAAGGGAAGAAAAAAAAAAAAAAAGAGGAGGGATCACATTCTAATGAGCTGTCAAGCCTATTCTCTTCACATTCCTATTAGACTCCCTGATAAGTGGAGCTGGCCCGTGTGCCAGGCAGATTTAAATCAGTGCCCATTCCCTGCTCCCTCCCCTCAGCCCTGCTCTGTCCCTCCCCTTCATTATCTCGGAGAAATCACCATTTTTCTGGGAAGTTTGTAAAGCTGCACGGGGGAACGGGTGGTAGAGCTAAAAAATATGTGGCTTGGAATAAGCACTCGGCATCACACACGAGGATAATCAGAATCCTGCCTGATTTCCCAGGCTCTTCCCTATTTTCCCTCAGCTCCCATCAGAGGGTGGCTCCAGGGGGGGCTGATTTCTTTACAGGGTGGGCTGTTGGTTAAAAATCCCAGAAACCCAGAGGTTCTCTGTGTCCTACCAGCACTTCAGGAGGGGATCTTGATGTACTTGGACACTGCAAATCTCTACCAGTTCCCCACCACCCAGAACAAATATTCCTGTTCTTCCCACAAAGATTTTTTCAGATGCAAAGATTTCCCTGAGGCTGTGCCATGAGAAGGTCCAGGAATGATAAAAGGTTGAAGATCACATCGTTTGAAGTCCTTTATGCAGCCAGCAAGGGAGAGATTTGCTTTATTTTGGCAATTCCTTCACCAGAACTTCTGTAATCCAACTGTCAGCACAGATCTTCCTTGGATTTTGCAGCCAGGGTAGATCAGGAGCAAAGCTCAGGGAAACTGAGGCACAAACACATTTTTTTGGAGCTGCTTTATTTTGGCAATTCCTTCACCATAACTCCTGTAATCCAACTGCCAGCACAGATCTTCCTTGGGTGGATCAGGAGCAGAGCTCAGGGAAACTGAGGCACAAACAACCTGAGCTGCAAAAAAAAAAATCGAGAGGTGGAATAAAGATTGGTGGATCAGAAGCAAAGTTCTGTTAATGTGGTTTGTGGAAACTGAGCCACAAACAACCTGAGCTGCAAAAATCAACAAGCAGAGCACAGATTTTTAATTTTTTTACAGCACCTTCGGGGAGAAATGGAGTTTAGGAAAGAGAACAAAGTCAGAAGGGCACTTACCCAGCAGCTCAAGAGTTAACAGCACATCACCCCTCCCCCAGCCAGCTCACATTCCATCAAAACTACGTGGCAGACTTTATTTGTTAATAATATTTAACTTTCTTTGGCGCCTTCTCATACTTAAGCCTCTTTTTTTTTTTTCAGGTTAGTTGTAGACAAGCCATGAATTTGTAAAAGTGCACTTGATGACACATTAATAGGACAATCTGTCATAGCCCAGCTAAACAGCCTGACAGCTCCACACACCACGGCGGGCAGGGACAGCCAGGGCTGGGCTGGGCTTGGCTGGGCTCTGCCTAAAGCCCCTTCCCCAGCCTGGCAGCAGCTCCTGGGACTGGGGGGGAAACCAGTCCCAGCTAATCCAAGGCGAAGGCGTTGCTGGTTTGGGTTGTAAACTTGGGACAGTGGTGGGACAGTGACAGGGTGGCACACACAGGGGTGGCTCTGGGCAGCCAAGGAGGCTCTGAGGGTCTTGGGGACATTGTGGTGACACCCACAGGGAGTCCAGGGAGACCCACACAGAGCTCTGAGAAGGTGGTGACACTGGGACAGTGACATGGTGGCACCTGGAGAGGTGTCTCTAGGAGGTTCTGAGGGTCTCAGGGACATTGGTGACATTGTGGTGACATCGTGGTGACACCCACAGGGAGTCCAGGGGGACCCACACAGAGCTCTGAGAAGGTGGTGACAGGGGGACAGTGGTGGGACGGTGACATGGTGGCACCTGGAGAGGTATCTCTGGGCAGCCAGGAGGGTCTGGGGACACTGGGGACATCGTGGTGACATCATGGTGACACCCACAGGAACCCCCAGAGGAGCCACACAGAGCCCTGGGGATGTGGTGACAATGTGACAGTGATGTAACAGTGACATGGTGGCACATGCAGGGCAGCCAGGAGGGTCTGGGGACACTGGGGACATCGTGGTGACATCACAGGGACACCCACAGGGAGCCCTGTCTGAGCCCCAGAGAGCCCTCGGGACGTGGTGACACGGGGACAGTGATGGGACTGTGCCATGGTGGCAGCCAGGAGGGTCTGGGGGTCTTGGGGACACCACAAGGACATTGTGGTGGCATCATGGTGACACTCACAGGGACCCCCAGGGGCGCCCCACAGAGCCCTGAGAATGTGGTGACACGGGGACAGTGATGGGACTGTGCCATGGTGGCACCTCCAGGGGTAGCAGGAGGGTCTGGGGGCCTTGGGGACTGTGTTAAAAACTCCCCAAAAGATCCTTTTCCCACCTTTGGGCTCAAACGAGTGCTGGCACAGCTGGTGCCTCCCCTGCAATCCCAAATTTCCAACTGCCCACCTTGGAGTTCCCGTCCCAGCTGCAGCAGTTCCCCGGTCTCGCCGCTGCCTCCGCAACGTCCAACCCCTGTTTGCAGAAAAAAAAGAAATAAAGTAAAATTAAGGACACAAAGTCTCAGGTGGCACTTTCACAGCACAGCAACTCAAAGATCTTGGAATAATGGGAAGGAACTCTCCAACTCCCTGACAGGAGGTTGTAGCCAGGTGGGATCGGGCCCTTCTCCCAGGTGACAAGTGATGGGATGAGAGGAAATGGCCTCAGGGGAGGTTTAGATGGATATCAGGGAAATTTTTTTTCATGGAAAAGGGTTGTCAGGCTTTGGAACGGGAATCACCATGCCTGGAAATGTTCAAGAACCTTGTGGATGTGGCCTGTGGGGACGTGGATTAGTGGTGACCATGGTGGTGCTGCTGAAGTTGATGGTCTTAAAGGTCTTTCCCAACCTTAATGATTCCATGGAAGGCAAACAGTTTCTCCCTGGAGCTCAGCACCACTGAGGCACTGCCAGGGATGGTTGAGAACAGAACAACATCAATCCTGCACGAGGAAAGTCTGGAAGCAGGGAAAACGTTGTAAGAAGCCACGTTAAGGATTCCAAACTGTGCAAGAACCCAAGGACAGTGTTTGCAAACCCCGTAAGTGTGAACAGAGCCAGGGAGGGAAGCGAAGAGTCGGGCAAGGAACTTGTGATCCCATCTTTCAATCTCCACTTCTGCGATTTTACTCCAGATAGGCCTCACCTGACTGCGCCAGGAATAATATCCAAAGGGCAAAAGGGCAAAAGCTGGGATTCCCCCACTTATCTGCTGTAGATATAGGGAACAACTCCTTGGCACAGAGATGGGGATTTTTGAAGCCAGTACAGTTGCTGACACTCCCCCCTCCCATTCCTGCTTCATCCCAGCTAAAGGGCTGGAGCATGGAAGGAATCCTGCCCTGGGAGGGTGGGGAGGCCCTGGCACAGGTTGCCCAGAGAAGCTGTGGCTCCCCCTGGATCCCTGGAAGTGTCCAAGGCCAGGTTGGAGCAATCTGGGATAGTAGAAGGTGTCCCTGGGTGGAACTGGGTGATCTTTAAGGTCCTTCCCACCCAAACCATTCTGGGATTCTGGGACAATCCAACATAAGCTTAGGCTGTTGGTTGTTGTACACAGGCCCCAAGGCTGCCAGAGCTCCAGGAGGGTTTGGACAACGCCCTCAGGGACAGGGTGGGATTGTTGGGGTGTCCTGGGCAGGGCCAGGGGTTGGACTGATGATCCTCGTGGGTCCCTTCCAGCTCGGGATATTCCACGATTCCTGAAGCTGTTCGAACAACCCTGAACACACCAACGAACAAAAGAGCAGCTTTGGGAAGACTCACCCGGGGTTTATGGTGGCTCCGGTCGGAGCTGCAGTGCCCGCATCCCACATTCCAGAGCCTCTCCGTGCCCGCATTCCCGACCCGCGGGATCCCGAAGCGGGATCGCTTCGCCATCTGCTGGCAAATCCATGGAAACGCCGACACACCTGGGAAAACGGCCAAAAATCCCCACTCGCTGCTCCTCCAAAGGTTTCTCTCAGAGTGACCAGGTGGGAAATAAACCCTTTGAGGCAAAGCTTTTCCCGCTGATAAAAGTTCCCAATAAACCCTCACGAACCATCCCCTTTCCTTGCCCAGAAAACCTTTTCAATGACATGCTTTGAGTTCCTTCTCCACAGATTCCCTTTTGTACAATCTTTCCACTGAAAAAGTGATTTTCCTGCTTTCCTTTTGCAAAGGAAGGATCAGCTTGTTCACAAAATAAGCCACTAACACCCAAAATTATTCAGACAGTCAAAAAACACCTTGAGAAGCACAAGGCTTAAGGGAATAACTGTAATTTGTAATTACAAATTTCGCCATAGTTGTTGTTTTCTCATCCATATTTATCCATTCCAGTTTCCTCCCAGTGATTCCTTTCCCAAAAAGAGTCCCACAGAAAGCCTCTGTTTTCTCATGAATGTTTATTATGAACAAACATTACAATGCAGTCATTCCCACTCCTCAGTACATGCTCGTGGCAAGGGAACACTTCCATGACCTGGAAATCTCGGGGGGGAGGAAGGTGATGACTACACAAAACTCCAGAATTTAAAATAAAATAAAATAAAATAAAATAAAAGAGATCTTTCAAGGCGACCACGAGATGTCATGTAATTCCAGCTGCAAAAGCTCCCTACCACCAATTCCTAACAGTTTTCCAGAATAAATCTAGGGAATTGCAGCGTGAAAGTCGAGGGCCAGACATTTATTCCAAGATCATATAATGAAGGAGAGCTTTTAATTTGATTCCAGCAAGTAATGGACTGCTCAGGGCATGGGAATATTTCTGCCTGGGCTCCTCCATCCAATGACTGGGGTAACAAAAAGATCAGACACTGCATTGTTAGAAATTCTTAAAAAACCCCACAAATCAGTAAAACCTACACAAAGGGGGATAAATCTCGTGGTACCAAAGGCAAGGAGACATAAAAATGTTTCAAGGGGTTTAAATTGCTCCCAGCTTCCAACAAATGGCACCTGGAATGGCTGGCAATTCCTCCAAATCCAGGGGACTCAAGAGAAAAACTGTAATTGTGGAAGTTTTGGGTTTTTAAACACAACCAATCCTCAGGGGGGGGAAAAAAATGCAGCATGTGCAGGGTTTGACCAAAGGGGGTTTTGTTTCTGCAAACAAGAGACCCACCTTCAGGTGCTCAGGTGCAGCTCAAGGCCAACTTCTTGCCATGGAATAAAAAGCCTCTTCTTCACCATCTCTGGCTGTTTTTCTCTGAGCTTGGAGAGGCCACAGAAGGTGCAAACACACCCCACCCGAGGTCTCCTTGCCTTTGTCTTGGTTTTTGTGGAGAAAGAACTTCCAGAAGAGAAGATAAACGTGGATAACCAACAGCAGCTGCTGTCTGGCAATGGCAGGAAAAGGCATGGCAAGGACACAAAGAGGTTGGAGAGGTGCAACCTCCTTCTGCCTGGAGAAAAAAAACATGAGCCACCCCGAAAATCCCAGCCCTGCAGGAAAGCCATGGCACTGCCCTCCTCCTTCCCAGCACATCCCCAGACCCACAGGACTCGTCTCTAGGATTAAGCACATACGAGAGGTAAATGAAAAAATAGTTATAAATAAGATTTGGTAAAACCATAAAATAATAATAATAAAAAAACCATAATCAAAGATTTGATAAATACACTTAAAATCCAGCCTTTTCCAAATCCCATCCTCACACACCCTGACTCCTTCCCTTCCTCACATCAGGAAGAACTGCTTTAAGGTTTCTTCAGCAAAGAGCTGTTCTGCTGATTTTGGTAATTCCTACCTATTGCAGAGAATTGGTCACATTTATTGGTGCTCTGAGCTGTTGGCTCATGGGTTGACAGGACATTTTTGCCTATAATTCAAGATACCAAGAAGCTGAGAGAGACAGAGAGTGAAAATCTGAAAGGGGAAATAAGACAGTTTCAAAACATTCTTAGACAGATGAGGTAATTATTTATTTGGGCTCTTCAGAATAATTAAAATAAGACTATACAGTGAGTGCAGAGCTTTTATCCCTGCTACCACCTCGGACAGTTGTAGCATTGACAGTGTGTCAATTCTGAAAGGCACAGCAAGTTTGCCTCTGCTGAAACAAAGCTTTTGGGCAAAATGGTAAAATTCAAGCAGGAGGGAGAAAAATCAAGCAAACTCAATTTAAAAAAAAAAACAAACAAACAGGTAATTTCAGACAGACTTTTGAAGTTCAGTGTTTACCCACAGTGCTGGAAGCCTGTGAACAAACAGCAATATTTCATTTATCAGTCACCTGAAGGGGAACAGTGATGAACTCACAGCTAAAAGCTTCCACACTCCCAGGTGAATTTGGGGTTTGGCTTTTGGTGGTTTGTTTTTGTTTTTTTTTAAATAGTGAACAGTGGAACTAATTTGAAGGGTTAGTTCAGGCAGTGACACTTGAGATGGATTATCAGCTGACTCTGAGGAAGCTGCTTTGTCACTGAGACTCCTTTGCCTTTTTCCCTTCCCAAGGGCTGGGGTTGCCTCAATCCCCACAGCCTGAGGAATGCAGAGATTTTGGAACACACACTCAACTCTCTCCATTGGTGGGTGCAGTTTTATTAGCATTTCACCAGTGGCCCCTTGTGATCAGAAGGAACTATTACAACTTTCCAAAAGAACATCTCCCAGAAGGAAAATCTGTAAGTGAACAAATCCCAAACAACCCTGGAGATGGGTATTCCCACTAGAGGCTGATTCCAAGGCTTTTTTTTCTTGCTAAGGGCCAACAACTGCACTTCTTGTAGCCCAAATAAAACCTTCAATGACACTGTGACAATTTAGACAACACATTTAACACACTGTGGTGTTATGTTCCCACTCATCTAATCACTACTGACTAGATATGCAATGATGGTCATTCTAGTTGGAAAAAAAAAGAAACCAGCAATTTTCTGTAGCATCAAACGTTCACATTAACCAAACCCTTCCCAAGTCCACGTGGAACCCCTACTTGGATCACTGAACACCTGGACAGACTCTTCCCTACCGAAAATAAAATGATATGCAGAGAATGGCAGAGTTTTAAAAATTGTACAGTGAAGTAAAAAGCCTTATTTGCTCGAGAGTTTCAAATTTCCAACGACAGATGGAGGAACTGCTATAAAAAAAAAATCAAAGCACTAGAAATGTAGTGTCTCATCAATAATGCTCTGACTTGTGAGAAACTACCAGAAGAGCAGCAAAAGTTTCCGCCTAACTCCAACTCCCCACGAGATTTCTCCCAGCTGCCCCAAAAAAAAAAAAAACCAAAACAAAGAGTCCCACCACTCGTTCTGCAAAACTACCGCTAGAATTTTGGTCTTGGGGGTTTTTATTCTGCTCTCCTCCTCCTCCTCCTCCTCACTCCTGGGCTATGCTCCTCAGGACATACTTCACTGTGTAGGCAAAGGCAGCGAAGCCCACGATGACAAACAAGTTCGCCAGAGCTCCGCCCAAGAGTCCATGGTGGCGGTTGGGCTGCTGGAGCCCGGGGGGGTTGGCAGGGCCCAGGGGCACGTGCCCGTTGAGGAGGGGGAGCCCGTTCTGACCGTAGTGAGCGTCCCCGTCGGGCACCACGTCGGGCAGAGGCAGGGAGGGAGGTCTGTTGTTGAGCTCTTCTTGTGCTTTCTGTTTCTGTTTGATCTCCTGGAGAGGGAGAGAGAAAGAAAAAAAAAGGAGAGACCTGAGGGGTTGGAAGCGAAAGTTGGTAGAGCTTTGGGTGCCCTGAGAGGATTGGAAGTGAAATTTGTGGAGCTTTGGGTGTTCTGAAAGGATTTCAAGTGAGAAGCTTTGGGTGTTCTGAAAGGATTTCAAGTGAGAAGCTTTGGGTGTTCTGAAAGGATTGCAAGTGAGAAGCTTTGGGTGTTCTGAAAGGATTGCAAGTGAAATTCGTGGAGCTTTGAGTGTTCTGAAAGGACTGGAAGTGAAAGTCATGAAGCTTTGGGTGTTCTGAAAGGATTGCAAGTGAGAAGCTTTGGGTGTTCTGAAAGGATTGCAAGTGAAAATTGTGAAGCTTTGGGTGTTCTGAAAGGATTGCAAGTGAAAATTGTGAAGCTTTGAGTGTTCTGAAAGGACTGGAAGTGAAAGCCATGAAGCCTTGAGTGTTCTGAAAGGATTGCAAGTGAGAAGCTCTGAGTGTTCTGAAAGGATTTCAAGTGAGAAGCTTTGGGTGCTCTGAAAGGATTGCAAGTGAAAGTCATAAAGCTTTGGATGCTCTGAAAGGATTTCAAGTCAAAGTTCTGAAGTTTGGGGTGTCCTGAAAGGATTTCAAGTGAAAGTCATGAAGCTTTGGGTGTCCTGAAAGGATTTCAAGTGAAAGTTGTGAAGCTCTGGGTGTTCTGAAAGCCATGAAGCCTTGAGTGTTCTGAAAGGATTGCAAGTGAGAAGCTCTGAGTGTTCTGAAAGGATTTCAAGTCAAAGTGATGAAGTTTTGGGTGTCCTGAAAGGATTTCAAGTGAAATTCATGGAGCTCTGGATGTCCTGAAAGGATTTCAAGTGAAATTCATGGAGCTGTGGGTGTTCTGAAAGGATTTCAAGTGAGAAGCTCTTGTCTATCTTTTCCCCACTCTCCTGTGTGCAATACTTAAGACCTTTTAAAAGGCTTCCAGGATTGACAGAGTCTGGGAAAAATCCTGAACAATTAGTTTGCTACATAGAGAAGTTTGAACAACTCCAGAAAATCCAAATATTGTAAGGCTGAATTCCCTTACCTCCACCACTTCAGGGAAGAGCTCACAGAAGACTTTATCTTTTAAATTAAATGCTAAGCTTTGTGCAGCGAGTTGTCTTTTCTGTGGAGGAAACAAAAACAACATCAGCAGCTGCAGAGAAAGTCATTTGCTCCAATCCACCACCTGATGTCCCCCAAGAAGGGTGCAAACCACCAGCCAACTTCCTGTCATTTACAGCACCACACTTGTGAACATTATTCACTACAACACCTTCACAGACATAAATGATGTTCTCAGTTCTTCAGCCTGTGGGATTAGGGGGTTGTGTCAGTGTGACTGCTTGGCTGGCACACCCAGAGGAAGGAAGGGGGGACAGAATCCCAACCACACTGTTTACTTCTGAGAT